AGTCCACCATCCTGTCTCACACAGTGGCCGAACAGTTCCTCTGGAAGGCCAACAACAGGGCAGAGAGGCCGAGGCCTTCATAGAGAAGAAGAAGAGAAGAGATTGGATTTATACCCCGCCCTTAACTACCTAAAGGAGTCTCAGAGTGGCTGACAAACTCCTTTCCCTTCCCCTCCCCACAACAGACACCCTGTGAGGGAGGGCTGAGAGAGCTCTGACAGAAACTGGTCTTTTTCAAGGACAGCTGTGCCAGAACTATGGCTTGCCCAAGGTCATCCAGCCGGGTGCAAGTGGAGGAGTGGGGAATCAAACCCGGTTCTCCCAGATTAGAGTCCGTGCAGTTAACCACTACACCAAATTGGCTCATAAGAACATCAGAAGAGCCCTGCTGGATCAGACCAGGGGTCCATCCAGTCCAGCATCCTGTCTCACACAGTGGCCAACTAGTTCCTCTGGGGGGCCAACAGCAGGGCCGAGAGGCCGAGGCCTTCCCCTGAGGTTGCCTCCCAGCACTGGGATTCAGAGGTTGACTGCCTCTGAACATGGGGGTTCCCTTTAGTCACCATGGCTGATAGCCACTGATGGACCTGTCCTCCAAGAATCTGTCTAATCTCATTTTAAAGCTGGCTGTGCCTGTGGCCATCACTACATCCTCTGGCAGCGAATCCCACATTTCAATCACTCTCCGTGTAAAGAAGTATTTCCTTTTGTCTGCCCTGGATCTGCTGCCCAACAGCTGCATCAGATGCCCTCTAGTCTTTTGGGAGAGAGAGAAAGAGTTCCCTTTCACAACTCTCTCCGCCCCATGCATAATTTCATAAAACTCTATCAGTTCCCCCCTGACTTGTCTCAAAACTGAAGAGTCTCAGACTCACAGGAAAGGTGCTCAACCCCCCTAATCCAGAGGTGTCACATATGTGGCCCAGGGGCCAGATGAGCCCCCCGGAGGGCTCCTATCAGGCCCTCAGTAGAACTGGCTGCCTTCTTCTTCTTCTTCTTCTTCCAGTTCTGCTGCTGCTGCTGCATCATCGTAGGTTTGCAGCTTACAGAGACACGCCTGAACAGCATATTCAAGATTGCAACAGCAACAGACATTTTGATGCAATGATTCAGAGCAAGAGGTGTCAGTTATCAGACACGGTTAAATAAACAAAATATTGCAAGAGTGCTGATGTTTTAAGCATGGTTTTATCTTAAGTAAAAAAAACATTTGTGTTTGTGTCCTTTATAAAGTTTGTATCTCCACTACCTGGCATTACATTTGATGGCACACCTGGCCCGGCCCAACAAGGACTCATTTATGCAGGGGTCGTTTTGTAGAAAAAGAGCTAGGGGAACTCATTAGCATAACTCATTAGCATATGCCACACCCCCTGACATCACCGGAAGTGTGTCATAAGGCCACACCCCCTGACATCACCGGAAGTGTGTCATAAGGCCACACACCCCGCCCCCAACGGTCCCGGCCGCCACCGCCGGCCTTGCAGCTCCACTGCTGAGCCCCATGAGGGGCCCGGCGGTGGACCTGCAAGGCCGGCGGGAGTGCAAGGAAGCCCCGCGAAGGCCCTCCCTGGCCCCAGGCAGGCAGGGGTGGGGAGAGGCAGGGAGGAAGCAACTTACCCTCCCTCTTCTCCTGCCTCCTCCTGGCTGAATGAGGGCCGGAAGCGGGGCGTCCAGAAGCAGGGGGCGGGGCTTTGTCGTGTGCCCCGCCCCCCGTAACTCACCCGGGGGAATTGCGATCCCCCCCGAAATGACCTCTGCATTTATGTCAGATCCGGCCCTCATAACAAATGAGTTCGACACCCCTGCCCTAATCATTACAGTACATTACAATACAGAGTACATTACAACACAGTACGTTAAAGTACAGAGGAGGCTGACCGCGACTGTACTTTTTCCAGCTCTGCGGTGTCCTTTTGGAGATACGGTGACCAGAACTGCACATTGTATTCCAAATGAGGCCATGCCATAGATCTATAGTCCTCCCCCACAACGCCTGAGGGGCAGCCTCTTTTCTCAACTTCCTTCTAACCTTCCCTTCTTCAGCACACACCACTGGCGCAGGAAGGAACACGGCCTCTTCCCCATCACCTTCGCTCCTCTCGTCTCCCCGGTATGCCTGCGCTTCCAGGAATCTGGGAGGCTATCAGCTGGTGTGGTGTGGCGGTTAGACTGCCAGACTAGAATCTAGGAGACCCAGGTTCAAATCTTCACTCTGTCATGGAAGCCGGCTGGGTGACCTTGGGCCAGCCCCACACTCTCAGCCTCATCTACCTCACAGGGCTGTTGTGAGGAGAACGATTTCAGCCGCTTTGGGGGCCCTCTGGGGAGAAATGAAGCCAGTCAATGAATAGATTAGCCCTGACCTGAGTAGCCCAAATCTCATCCGATCTTGGAAGCTAAGCAGGGCCGACTCTGGCAAGGACTTGAATGGGAGACCTCCTTGGAATACCAGCAGTCGGGAGGTGGGGGCAGGCCTTATTCAGCCACCTCTCTGAATATCCTCCAGGACCCCAGTAGGGGTCAGACACCAGAGGTCGCCATGACTTCCAGGGGCATGCTCTCTCTCTCTCTCACACACACACATGCACACATATGAAAAATACAACCCCCCTCAAATAAATGGAATAGGTTACACAATATGTGATGGCTTATGGAACTCTGCCACAAACTGTAGCCAGCTTTAAAAGGTCGACGACAGAAACTCATGAAGGCTCTCCATTGGGGAGGAAAGCAGGGTATACATGAAATAAATAACGAAATAATTCCTTAATCAGTTTACCTCTTCAGTTTAATTATTTCACCCTTCCTCTGGGAAGCTCGGGGGAGCACAAATGGGTCTCCCTTCTGAAGTTTAACCTCACAACCCATGCTCCCTCTAAGCTGTGGAGTCTTGTGGGCAAAAATTCTACTTTGTGAGCTCCTGGCATTAAAGTTGTGAGCCAGCGATTTGGCTGCTGCATGAATTAGTTCACCTCTGGAGCCATCCTTCCTGAGCGAAGACAAAACTGTTTGAGCCGGAGACTAAAAACCTGTGAGCTAGCTCACACTAACCCAGTTTAGAGGGAACACTGGTCGCAACCAACTTATGGAGACCCCACCGAGGACCTTCCCAGGCAAATGAGAAGTGGAGATGTTTTGCGGTTGCCTTCCTCTGCGGAGTCTGCCTGGGTGGTGGTCTCATCCCCAAGTACCGACCCCGAGATCTGATGAGTTCAGGCTATACCATGCAGTCAGACTATACCATGCTCTCCCTTATTATATTATGCATAAGGTGAGATTGAGCTAAATAAATTGATTGATTGATATTATGCATAAAAGTATCAGGGGTGAAAGTAAGCTGGTACAGGCAGGTACAGAGTATCAAAGGGCCAGCCCCCCCCCCCAGGTATTTCCTTTTTTGCCATTGTCCCAGCTGACTCAGGGCAACCGAAAAGGGTTTTCATTTCAAGGCAAGAGACGTTCAGAGGCAGTTTGCCGTGGCCTCTCTCTGCCTCCTCACGCCCCTGGTATTCCACGGAGGTCTCCCATTAAAATCCTGGCCAGGGCCGGCCGACCCTGCTTAGCTCCTCCGATCGAAAGAGACCGGGCTAGTCTGTGTTATCCCAGTCAGCTCCCAAGCGTGGTTACCGGTTATGAATTTCCTGAGCATCACGTATAGGGATGGTGCATTTCCACCATGATTACCGAGGCCGTAAATAATAATAATAACAATAATAAAAATAATAATCGGGGCGGTTTAAGGCTCAAGGGTGCCCTCAGCACTGACCAATCTTGGTGCCCCCCCCTCCTTTCCACACTGACCCCCAGTCCATTTGAATTGTTGGCCTGTCTGACCAGCTACACAATGCAGGTTGCAGCAATACAAAAGTTTATTCATGGGATAACACAATATACTGTACAAAGGAAGCCAAGCTTTTTGCAAATCCTCATTCGTTGTTTTTTCTTTTCTTTTCACCCTTTCCCCAACTTTCGTGGTGCCCCCTTTGGCCCTGGGTAAGGAGCTGCGGTGGCTCAAGTGGTTAAGACCCTGAACTGCAGGCTGTGGAAAGTCAGTAGTTCAGCAGTTTGAGACCCGAGTGTGCGGCATGACGGAGTGAGCTGCTGTCTCTGGTTCCAGCTCCTGCCAATCTAGCCGTTCGAAAGCAAGAAATTGCAAGTAGATAAATAGGTACCACTTCGGTGGGAAGGTAACAGCGTTCCGTGCGCCTTGGTGTTTAGTCATGCCAAACGTCTTCGGACAGCGCTGGCTCTTCGGCTTGGAAACGGAGATGAGCACCGCAACCCTAGAGGCGGACTCGACTGGCTTTCGAGCAAGGGAGACCTTTACCTTTTAGCTTTGGCCCTGGTGCCCTAAGCACGTGCTTAGTCTGCTTCGTGGTTAATCCGCCGCTGACAATAACGATCTGGATGCCTCTCCGAGGGAGCGATGACAGGAGGCGCGACGCGCGCGGCCAGAGACGGACCCGCGTCCGGGGAAGGACGAGGAGGGTCATCAGCCGGGAGATCGACGGCCAAGCGGGGCGAGAGGCGGCGGCTGTCGGGAGGCTGCCGACCATTCCCTTCTTTTCCGAGATGACAAGTTCGCGACAAGCCTCCCAGGCCGCGGGCGGCAGGCCCCACCCTCGGCTCCTCCTCTGCCCGCGCGAAGGAAGACAGGGAGGGAGGGAGGCAGGGAGGGCGAGGCCCCGGAGGAGGAGGAGGAGGCGGCGGCGGCGGCGGCCTGGAGCGGCCGGGGCCATGTGCGCGCCGGCGGGGCGGCGTCTATAAAAGGGGCGCGCCGGGGCCGGGCCTCTGCAAGCCGTGCGCTCCGGGCGAAGGCG